AAAAAAAAATCCTTGTCAATTGCAATCTATCAATCTTTTCTGTTTATTCATTTTGATTTCATTTGATATCAATATGTACATTATGAACAGCAGGGATTAATTACCACACTGTCCTATGCTATTCTCCTTAGGTCGTAAGTTTCTCTAAGTTACGGTGCCGCCATATTTGTATTTGTACGTAATTTTCAGAATATTTACGCAACATAGCAAACATTGTATTGAGCGGCGGACTGTTTCGATCGTGATAATGCTTCACGCTTTTGAAATGGTACAACTGCGTCGGTCGCCAGGGCCCCTCACATTTAAGCGTCTCGTTTATGACCGGCCACCCCTTCAATACAGTTGACGGTCAACTTGGTATGTGATCCACCTTCTTTTTACTGTTGCTGCTTGCGTCTCCATCTTGTTTTAGGGCATCGCTGGCATTAACGACTGACTTTCATCCGTAAATACATCAAAGTAAAGATACGGTAATGTATTAGGTTTGGTAAATCCACTGAACTTTTGAAGAAAATACAGTTGTGTTTCAGACACCACAGCCTCTCAGATCAAACTGCACTGATGAGTGATGGCTCTGCAGTTGTTTACGCAAGATGGTAAAACAAAAGGGGCGCTGAACTCGCGTCATCAACATTCGACTGAAGTCTGTAGTAATTTACACTTTACCAGTTCCACAGTTGCCTTCGCCGTAACCGTGGAACTAAAATGAAAATGTTATAGATTTTTTTATATTTATTTATAAATATAATAGAAGTTGTCATTTTCACGTTTTATTCGGAATTGACCATCAGCCAACACAACAACTATTAAGTTGTCAAGACTTGTGAAGCTCTGATTGGCGAATTGCAACTGCAGGCGTTCAACTCTGCGAGGGCCTCTTCTTGTCATATTTGGAGGGGGGTATTGAATTAAAATGAGGGGTGGGTAGGCTTATAGGCTTCAGGTCAAGGGGTGAGAGGGCCTTATAAGAGGAATGCTTTCCCTACAATGTTGTGACCTTTGACTCTTAGCTGTCGGACCCAGATCAGACGAGATTCTTATATTATCTATTCAAGGCTTGTCTTGAGGTGAAGGTAATGATATATCAAAAACTAGTTTCATTATTTTTGTTGAATAAGTGTAATCTATAGGTATATCTTCTGTATGAACCTCAATTCATAACCAATCTTCCATACTTTATTTAGTGTGCAACAATCAAAGATTTGTAAGACACAAAAACAACAGATTATGTTAAAGCGAGATGGTCATCCATCACCTGCAGACGTGCGAGAATTGAGTCCCAAGCGACGATAACAACACATGTTGAAAAACGCAAAGGCTCATGGGTAGACAATTGTTTGTAAACAATGACACACTATGTCCATCTGACGCATATGCAGGTGATAGATTAAGTCAAAATGCATGTAAAAACGACTAAATATGGAAGTTCTTTGCATTTGCATTTGCATATCAACCATATTTGGTGTAATATTCTACAAACCTGTCCTGGAACTAACTTTGCATTTATTAAAGTCTAATATGTTACTTGTAATTACTAGTATCCTGTACATATACCAATACCACAGTCAGCTGGCGCACATCTGATATAATAAAATAACACTTTCCTGGGGTATTTGAAACTAAAAATTGGCATTCCAGCTCAGCAGCCAATCAGCGACGGCCTTACACTTAGATGACAATTTCGGTTTTAAATACCCCGGCTTAGTGTTCTAGGTTCTTCGTGTAATTAGGTGTTCGTATACATAGGATTTTCCACATAAAAACGACGAATTTGGTCGAATTTTGTTATCGATTGGCTTAATATAACTCCAACGGGCCGTATTTTTGTGAAAGATTGGTACTTTTGTCCTGATTAGTAGGAATCTGAAATACACGTTTTACAACTTCTCTATTATTTAGTTTTATGCGTCATTCAAGATGGCGGCCCCCATATAGTAAATATCGCATTTATTTTATTATATCAGGTGTGCGCCAGCTGACTGTGACCAATACATGTTATACTGTTGTGATGAACAAAGCTAGAAAAAGTGACATAGCATCTGGATGCAATTATGTGACAGGTGTGCCCTTGTGTCATGACTGTGCATTTCTGTATGCGGCACTCTTGTGTCTGGAGTTCCTAAAATAGATGTCAATGTATACATACCAAATTAAATTTGTAGATTTGGGTTGAAAACCACTCCCCACAGTGAGGTTTTGTATTTGACTCTACTGTTTGATAGTTTCGGTGATAGGGTTAATAAATTGTCCATCGTTTCTATGTGAGTGGAATATGCTATAAAATGCGTAGTTTTATAGTTCAAATTTCATTTTATATACATTAGTTTGCATGAGATGCATATATCAAACATGATTCATTATAACAGCTCTAGCTATTTAACTTGATGCAGTTAACCAAAAACTGTATTGGAATATTGTGATTTGTTCTAGGCATACTTATATACTAATAATGGCATCCTGGGAACAAGACGAAGATGAGGAAGAGACAATTTGGCAAGAACTAGCAGATGAATATGCAGTGAAGTTATGGATTGAAGAACGAGAAACCAAGGATAGACAGAATTTAGAAGAAATGGGTTTGCCATATAATGATATCACAACTGGTGGGTTGTCTTATAAAGTCAGAAATGGGCTTGTGTACCAAGAATATTCTCAAGAAACGACTGGTAATAACAATAAATCAAATATTTGATCTTGTTACAATGTCTTGTTTGAGTCTCATGACACTGTAAAAATATTAATTGATGACTGTTTTACCAGAATCAGCAATTATTATTTTTCTTCTATGATATTGTCTTATTACACAAACTAGACATAGTCCCCATCCTGATGCAGTCTGAAATTCACTACGTTCAATTACCCACCATAGACTCCGGTCAGTCAAAATGATTATTTTGAACTGTAGGTACTAATCAGCGATTCTGTCGGTGACGGAGAGATAGAATCTAGGTCAGGGGAAGCCCCATGACGCCAAGATTCTTTTACCCCTTACGTCACAAACCCACGTGACCGAGGCCACATGACAGCGCCATAGGTAGCCGTCAATCACTCTTCATTTTTCTCTGCCTTGTCGGGGAATGATTCTGAGTGACTCTGCCTGGCTCTGTTGCTTTTTCCTGTCCGGGTTTCTAGCGTGGGTCGTCGCCGCAGCTGCGGCATCCGACATTCTAGCTGGTAGGATAAGTTTTTCTTGTCTTTTTACCCTCGTGTCGTTTTCCCCTTTGTGTGTTATGCTTTCCACAACAAAGAAA